TATTTTAAGGGTGAAAACGCCCGGGGCGCCGTGTCTTATAGCACGAGCTTGGGATGGCTCTGAGTGGACAAAATAAATCGTTAGGTAAGCCTGTTTTTGTTAAAGCCTATGATACATTCCCAAATTTTGCCAATATAGTTTTAACTGAAATAGAATACCCGTCTCGAAGTAAAAAGGAAAATAAATCCCTAATTATGGACCTTTTCATGAACTGAGCTTGAATGATATGTGCTGTGAATTATTAAAAGACACATATTTGCGTCTCCCAAGGCGTAAAAACAATGTACTAAATCGAGTGCATCTTTGTAAGCTATCAGCATAGGCGAAGTCTCCACCCACCCCACCCTTCCTAATCTGTATATAGGTAAACTGGAAGTTCAATCATACCGGGAGTTTGAAAGTTTCAGTGTGTACCTGTCGAGTTTCCTTTCAGTTTGGATCACTTCAAACATATGTATCAAGAGAGTTCACATTTTCATATATGAGGGGCCTCCGGTTGCCTAATGGTCTAAAGTGGTTGTATTGACTGATCACTGCCATCTCACCTCTGTTCGAATCCGTTCAGGTTTCCGGCTTGGCCAATGTGTGTATGAAAGAAGGCTACCAGTAGCCTCCAGTGGGTCTGTGGTTCTTACAGGGGATTTCGCAGGTTTTTCCTTCACCAATTATACTGGCCGCGATATACAGCCTATCTTGCCTTGAGAAATGGCGTTAAGCACACACCAAAACAGCAAAACAAAATTCTTCATGTCTGGCGACTTATAAGGTAATGTTCAACATTTAACAAGTTAACAAGTAGGCGAGGGAAGAAATAAGGGTGATATAATTTGGTTGCGATTTTTATACGCTCTTAAAAAAGATGTCCGGTATACATTTCTCTGCAAAACTATAGGTTGTGTTCAAGTATATATTATAAGTCTTGATTCGTTTTCTAATCCCTTTAGGAATTTGATTTATTACCTCTGATTCTACTATTTTATATGCAACATGATTGGAAATAATACTACATTACCAAATCCTCATATTACTATCATACAGGATCCAGATTTTTTAATTCGCACTCTTTCGGGATTCAAACCCGCGGCAATGTGGTTCTGGTACCATCCATGTCTTGCACACTCCAATCCCTATACCATTTCGACCATGCACACATCAATAAGATATTTTTATTAATCATTGTGTCACAAATGCTTTTTTCCAACTGGTAAGAATCTCAGACAATTAGATGGAACGTACATCTCGGTCTTGGTTTTATAAGCCAATTTATAAAATTTAATAAGCAATCTAATCAGAAATTAATTTGATAAAGTGTTGACAAACTCAAACACTCAAATGCATTATCACCTCATTCATGTGCGTGGATATCGGTCCTATCCTAACCGTACTCATCCGAAATCTTGACGATTTTAGCTAGTTTACAAAGTTTTGGTCAAAGGCAGATGAGAATATAGTCAATTAAGTGGCAACAAACTCAACCAATCAAATGTACTGTTTACGTTTTATCATATGAACTACTATTTCATGTGTGATCAAAATCGAATATGGCGTCCAGAGCGAGAACAAACTCAGCAGTAAAATGTTATGAGCCGGTCTCACTCATATTCCAAACAATTATATCTCTTCATGATATAACCCCATATTCCATGTCTGGCAAAAAAAACAACAAAAAAAAACAACAACAACCTGAATGAATAATAAAGCTTTCAAAGGGGTAACAGGCCAGCCAGCAATCAAATACAAGATCACCTAATTACTATTCGTGTACCTTGCTCCTTATCAAAATCCTCCAAGATCTCGATGTATTAAGCCTATAGTCCAACTTTGATTAAATTCAGATCAGAAATATGACTACCGGAGTTTTAAAAAAATTAAGTTACGCTCCACGCTCCACAGTCTTCATAAAATGTTTCTTTCTCACACGTTTCTCGTCTGCTTGAGGTTCAACGTGTTCAGCAAAAAGCAACCAAATACCGGAAGGTCGTGTTAGTGAAAGCCCATATTCCAAGTTTTATCATAATTGGATCAGAAATAGTTTTAGTAATAATCGTAACACAAGTGCCGTTATACAGCTTTACAACTAATAATTACCATACTTCTCTCTCTCTCTCTCTCTCTCTCTCTCTCTCTCTCTCTCTCTCTCTCTCTCTCTCTCTCTCTCTCTCTCTCTCTCTCTCTCTCTCTCTCTCTCTCTCTCTCTCTCTCTCTCTCTCTCTCTCTCGCTCCACGCTCCACAGTCTTCATAAAATGTTTCTTTCTCACACGTTTCTCGTCTGCTTGAGGTTCAACGTGTTCAGCAAAAAGCAACCAAATACCGGAAGGTCGTGTTAGTGAAAGCCCATATTCCAAGTTTTATCATAATTGGATCAGAAATAGTTTTAGTAATAATCGTAACACAAGTGCCGTTATACAGCTTTACAACTAATAATTACCATACTTCTCTCTCTCTCTCTCTCTCTCTCTCTCTCTCTCTCTCTCTCTCTCTCTCTCTCTCTCTCTCTCTCTCTCTCTCTCTCTCTCTCTCTCTCTCTTATGTGATAGCTACAAATATTAAAAACCTTCAAGTTCGAGCCTTAAACTTTATCTTTGTTATCTACAAGTGCCATTTACACCAATCTAACTTCAACAAAATTCAGTAGCTACGAATGGATACGAAAATATTAGAGTATATGTTGTTATTAAATATATAGAATGTAGGGCAAGGAGGACGCGTATCAGTTTAAACAGATATATGAACTGGTTCACCTTTACCTTCTACTCTGGAGACGCGGTGTTAAGGTGATTACAACATTCGAGTCGTGATAAGAAGAGAACGTGTCCGATTCCCACTGTTGTATCAGACTGAGTCGCATATGTGGAGAAAAAAAAAAGAAACACCACCACAACAAAAATTAACTTCTACTATACCCCATTTGAAACTGGAGAAGGTTAATATTTGTAGCATTTTACGTAATACCTTTTCCCAACACATAATATAATGAACGAAATCAATTTCATCATTCCAATACCCCCCAAACAAACTATTTCTTATTCTGAGTGATGAAAGGGGTGGGGATTGAAAATACAACCTAGAATGAAAAGAACTTTTAATACTTGAAATCAAAATGTGCCAAATTTACAGTATGGTCTATCTGTTAAATAGTTTATTGGGATTTTCCTTAAATCTTTTCCGAAGCCATTTAGACGTGAATCGTTATATAAAGATATGTAGTATTTTTTTATCCAAAGCGCTCTTCCAAACATATATTATCTTGTCCGCTTTTGAAAGAAAATCCTGAATATATATCACAGGCATAATGAATAATATAATGCTGCTCCGAATGATGACAATGAGTTTGAATTGTAGTCATGTGCGGCCATTCAACAACATAACAACATGCCTGGTGTACATTGTAATATGTGATCAGTACAATGACGCTAACTACTCTAGACTCTGCCCTCTATCGTGTTCATCATAAAATATTTCATCATTGAACGAATATTATGTGATTTGTGCTTGCTTACTAAATGTTAATAATGCTTTTTTACTTATGAGCTAAAAATACAAAATTAATATCTGTATAATGTAGTGCGGCTTGTTGATCGACAGACTACGTAATAGTCGTGGAATTAGTGATAGTAGCTTTTTAACTGGCCCTTTCTAATGAGATAAGGGAGATAAAATGAAATGTTGAAACTATTATCGTGTGTTGGATAGAGGACATATACATTTAAAATGACCCAACTTGAAAACATCCAAATCTGGTACCCAGAATTCTCCTGCGTTCGTACACCCCCTCAACAAACAATCATGGTATGTGGGTTATCAAATAGATTTCGATTAATAAAGCACTTAAAATCAGTTTCGATTCGAACGAGTAAGTACAGTATAAAAAAGTGTGCTATTTTTGTTTCCCCCATTTCATAATCACTTCGTGTTTCTCTAAGACCTATGATATAAACAGATTGTTAACGTTATTGTTTTGATTTTTAGTATGAAATGGTTAAAGATAGAAAGCCACTGATCGTAAATTCAACCATCTTTCATGGACACACTTTTGAATACGAACGCAGAAGAAAAAAAAACGAACAATGTAAGGTGTTGAGAAAATGCGGTAACATCATTTTCTTACCTCTTCCTGCATGAAGTATTGAACCTGTTATTTAGGGATCTGAAAGCAATTGTTTTGCCATCACACTAATGGAATTCCAAAAGAAAATATTGAAGTGAAGATTTTTGAGATACTCACCGATTCCTATGCCGACGATTAGACGGCCGACGAGAAACACTATTATGTCATTAGCCACTGTCACAATTATCGCACCAGCGATGAAAACAAAGCTAGTCAACAATATAACTTTTTTCCCCATCAAAGCCGCCAAGTACCCGGCAGCGGCCCCTAGAGGGGGAAAGCTCTCACAATGGCTTCTTTCCAGAAGGCTTCCAGCTTCCAGAGGTCCCCAATGTGTAGAAGGGAGACAGAGATGATCCCCGTATCATAGCCCAATAACAGTCCACCAATCAAAGCAAAACAGGTAAGGCAATAAACATAGAACGAGGAACCTTTTTTCCGCTTCCGCGATTTCACAATCGAATTTAGTGAAGCCCTTTTTCTCATCTTCCTCTCTCATTGCTAATTCAGTCCAGAATACTGCGAATTCTTGATCGATCAGGACACGGTGATTTGTACACCGAGTAATCTGGTGAGGACTGATTATGAAGTAACTGATGAACCAAAATGAATTCAACCCAAAGTACAACTTTAATATAGGACAAAAAGTTGTTATATATCTTATGATCTCTTGATAGGAGTTTTCCAAAAAGAATGTGTTCACCTAGTATCATCGTCATGGAATATTTATCCATATAAATACTTACAGTGAGAAAAATATATCTGACTTTTTTGTTTTGGTTGATTTAAATATTTTTCCATTGAGTTACTCAAATACTAGATCGAAATTGACGGTTACATTTCACACAATAAATTAATGAATTTTGTCATAATGCTCCTTCGTAAACAATCACTCCAGTGGCCTAGTGGTCGGAGCGTCCACCTCAGATGCGGGAGGTCGTGAGTTCGAACCCCGGCCGGAAATAGCAAAGACTTTAAAAATGGTAGTAACAGCTGCCTCACTTGGCGCTCAGCATTAAGAGGTTAGTGTCAGGACTGGTTGGCCTGGTGTCAGGATAATGTGGCTGCAGACATCGTAGCGATATAACTTAACAATTGTTAAAGCTACGTTAAAAATATAAATCACACACACACACACACACCTTTGTAAACACGCAACCTGTTGATGATAGTGGAGTGTTCAAGTTTCATCACATTATTACTATGATAAAGTGTGCATATCTTTGACTTTGATCTAATGGTGGGTGGATAGAGTTATGAGGCTTTTGGATTTTTTAAATGATATTGATCGAAAGCTTTTATGATTTAAGCCTTGAATCACAAACGAGTGTATAATTTACACGAACACATGGCGGGCCTTCCCGGTAGATGTCCAAAAGTGAAGTTACTATAACATTTACCACAGCAGGCAAATATACTGCTAGGTAGATTTTTAAACGCTAGTAAATAATATATTTCAATGGCCTATAATAAATCACCTATTTCGGGACGATAACGCCTCGATTCTGTATCTGTGTACGAAGTCCTTCGTGGGTTTTTTTATTTCAGACAACGCGGTCTCGAACATCACCATGCTAATTATATTATCCTCGATAGCTACTGACTCCAGTATAATGATTGGATTGGGATTACTTTGTGTGCCGCGAGCATTAATGAATAAACACATATTCGCGAATGTTCGTAGTGAAATTATTTTACCAGCTTAGCCAGTCCTATCGGTTACTATTTATATAGCTCCAACAACAATTCCAACTGGTGTGCATATAATATAAAACGAGCACCGTATAAGGAGCATCAAGGAACCAGATTCGCTGACACATACTTTGGTATAAGTAGATCCATGCTGTTTATTTGAAATCGTTAGTGGAAGCAATAACATTGCCCCAGATGTACCGGATAATTATGCGATGGTAGATTTCAATATATGCTTAATGGACTAGTTGATCACAATCTATGCAGTCTGCAGCTGTTGCACGTTCACAAATATATATGCACTAATTCAGCAACCAATACGATCTCTGCTCGAATTATTGATGAACTAACATGCATTCGTTTAAGAAGGAAATACATATTCATTTTTGTACATGAGCATGAAAATTGCTTTCTGCCAGATTTCATAAATTAAACACAAACTAACGAGGAGGTGCAGAAAAATGTGTTCAGTGTTTCTTTCTTCCCCGTATTCATTCCAATATTGTCAAAATGGTATTATTGCTGTTATCACTTGGCCATAGCATACTTGTATAGCATCTCTGGGCGGGTAGAGTTTTCATAAGCCACAAATTTGACAAATGTCATATTTATCAATGTCATAATCGGTTTCATTATCGAGATATACATTACCGAGGATCATGAAAAATTTATCTTTATAAATCCACGAAGAATCGCTTGCGCGCGTGAAAAAGATTCTGAATTTAATCATATCCATGTTTCCTGAACACTAAGTCTGCTGAATGTTTCGCAGAGCATGTGTGTCGACTCCATTAAACACAACTAAATATTGCTTTGGAAATTTATGTCTATCGCTGAGTAAGATAAATCACGTCTGTAGTTTAGTGTCTGCCTCGAGTAAATATCCGAGCTGAATCTGACTGTTTGTACAGCATCACATCATCTAAATGAGCTCGTCCACAGATGGCGCTTCATCAATGTAGGTGATAACATAAATTCATTAACGTCTTCATCCAACGACTTTGCTTCTTCGTTAAAATCTTTAGGCACATAGTAGCATCGCTGATTATCTACGGATGGTGCCACTAAATACAACTTATCCCACTTGAGCCATCTTATTATCAGATTATTTAAGAAACAATTGCGTCTTATCAGACCCAGATAAACCAGGTATAATTGCTCTGATACAATTTGGCAACGTTGCATGACGCTTGGTTGGCTCTGGTTTCTTGTGTCGCTGAGAAATCAACGATATTCATGTTGTAAAAATAAAATAAATAATATGGATTTATATTGTGTTCGGTGCAGAGCTCCAATCCCCACAAGTTGATTGACAACATTAATAACAAAAAATAAAAAGCGCGCACATACAGGTAAGTGTCTAAAATGTGTTGGAAAAAATACAAATTTATCTCTGATAAAACAGGTGTAAATATGGCTGCTTTACTGGGAAGATATCAAAAGTTACATTGGCTAAGTATCATGGAGAAAAACATGGTCTTGGATATAATGATTGTGGTTCTGGAACCCGGCTTGATTTTCTACTTGACTAATGAGACCAACCAAGATCAGGAGAGTATCCAAGAAATGCTATTGATCAAGGATACTACGTTAATGATGATGCGTATAAAACTAAAGATTTGCAACAACGACATATTGAGGACGTGAAGTTGATTCATTCGTTAAATTCCTTAAAAAATAAATCTCTCAGAAAAAACTTGCTAGCCTGCTAGTAAATCTCCAGTAAAAGGTAAACTAGTGCTAGGAGCCGGTAATTAATCTACCGATTATTATTATTATACAATGAAATCGGTTTATTATAGCGAAAGAGGATATTGTAGGCGTAGAGCAGCGATTAGTAAACTTGCTGATGCAGCAATTTTCACATGTTCTGTTGCTGAAAATTGGTTAGCACGATAAGCAATATGGCAATATGGCAAATTTATTTCCACCATCTAAAAATATTCACTACGCACATTTTGATGTCAGTACTCCCAATAAAGTTCATCAAGCAGACATGATACTATTAAAACTGGTAGACGTCAATGGCGCACGTACTAATACACGTTAACTGTCGTTGATGTTGCAAGTAGATATCGAGAAGCAGAGCCACTATCAACAAAATCAGCAAACTGAAGTTGCATCCGCATTTGAACGAATTTATCAACGTGGCGGTCTATGATGGCAGCAGTTGCCACTGGTTGATCCTGGCAAAAAAAAAATTCTTGGTGCAGTATTATCTCTGATGAAACAACATAACGTCAAAATCAGATGAGAACATACCACAATTCATCGTGATCAGGCAATAGTTGATAGATTTAATCGAACACTTGCTTAGTGGTTTTCTTGGGTATCAGTATGCACAGGAAATATCATTGAACAAAGTTCAGAAAGACATGAGATCTCGTGAATGGGTTGCAAGACTACCAGGTGTGATAGCTGCATTAAATTATGCAACTTCTATAAAAACCGACCAGCGCGATCATAAAAAAACATATACAAATACAGCGACAAGACTACTTTTCAAGACAACCAGTACTAGGTAATGTGACTGTACGATATTTGTATGAACTCGGTGAACGTGAAGAGGGTGAAAACGAGCAACTGATCCTATTAGGAGTATGACCAATGTTTGAACACACATAACATTTACAGCATGGTAAGATCCACGGGTAGACCTGCAATTTGCAGGCTAGATTCAACTGCTCCCCAACGGGGATTTGTACGTGAACAATCACAATCCTGAGGATACGAAATTATCACCGTCTTCACTTTTGTGAACTGGCTGCTCGACGTCTATTACATTCAAGACAGGTCAGCATCACCTGTTCGCTTGTGTGACCAAGACTACTATTAATTTCATCCACGGTGAATTGTTCTGGATTATTATTGGAATACTGACACAACATTACCATGTTACAGCTCGCACAGTGATTATTGTCGCTGTTTCAGTGTCATGATAAGTTCAGCATTGAGATGAAAATCGCGCTGTTTTGTCACATGCTGATAACAAGCTATTTGTTTCTTTCTACATCATCGGTATTGCCTGCAGTTTGGTTATTAGTTACTGTGAAATATATGATAACCATATGCAGGTGAGAAATTCTTCTGACTCGAGACACTGCGAGATAAACTAAATTTGACCATTTAATACGATTATCAACCATCCAAATATTTGTATCGGAAATAGTTAATCTTTCTGACGAATGAATCGTTATATCATATCCTAGAGTCCATGGCGTTTTGCCTATCGTTAACGCGCTCTCACCAACATCAACAAGAACCAAAACAATTTCATTTAGTACAAGATTTTGTTTCCTTGACTTTGTCGATGTTTCAGGAATTTCAACGTCGATACTTTGCCGTCGAATATCTGCTGGGTGATAACACAATAATACAGGTAAGATTTGAAACTTTTTCTTTATGTAACAGAAATAATTGTTGTTGAATTATATTACGAAGTATCTTTCTACTTGCAACTATGAAATCAGTAGAAAGTCGTAGTCTGACTAATTTCGTAAACGCACTTAATCTGGATCAATCAACCGATAATCATTAGTTATTTCATCAAAATAATCCACACAACCTTTTAACCATTCGCGTGGAGATGATCTCACAAAAGGTGGCGGTTGACCATGATCGCCACATATTATCACAGCAGTATTCGTTGTTAATAACCAATCAAGAGACGTTTAAAAAACATCTAATTAAATTGAACGCGTTGTTTTGTCAGAACCACCGTACCCGTTGAGATAAAAGATTTTTTGCCTAGCTACGGGATCATATATAAATGGTGTTGATGATAATAATGACATTTGGTTATTCTTGTCGTATATATTAATTTGAGCGTCAAAGGATTCAAAATAACTAAGCATCTTCTTTCTTTCTCCATTCGCCCCATGATACATAATTGCCAGTATGTAATGGTTTTAACAATTCTGCGTATTTTTTATTTATTTAAAATAAATCTGCGAAAACTCATACCGCGATATCAGGTAATCTGTTTATCATTTATAATAAAATTATCAAAACATATGCTAAAATCGAATTTCTTAAATGAGTGAACTGCCGTGAATCACTATCAATATATCTCACTACTGTACCTAATTTAGTTACATCCGACAAATAAGAATTATTCCAACCTACAAAAGTCTCTTACTCTGTTGTATAAGCAATTAAAAATAGAGTTCATCATCGTCGATGATTAATTTTGTACAATGTTGTTTTGTTTATAGTCATATGAACCACCTTGAATAAATTTACCGATTATTTTTCTAACGGGATCATTTGTAAG